TAAGAAGCATCATTAAACATCTGTGATATTTGTTTTTATCTCTAAAGTACAAGTATCTCTGGTTTAGGTGATGCATGCTCGTGGATTATCCCGAAAACTTCACAAACTTGGTATTCACCATGTTACTGTGAATTCGCTGCATCCAGGTGTGGTGAACAGTAATCTGCCTCGATTCACACCCCTTGCCAAAACACCTTTACGTCAAATAACCGCACCGTTCAGGTAGGTTCTTTCATGCTTTCTTATTTTCATGTTCATATCGCTTGCAGATGTAGTGACGCAATGGTAAAGGGCAGGGCTTTACTACATATTCTAGTGATCGAACTTCTTATCGACTCTCCTCCCCAATCCAAACAAGCCTTGAAGGTCGGCTGTTTGGTAGCACACCAATAAAACTCTGACTTGTACATTGGTTTGTCCCTGCAAGTCACTGTACAGGCTATATCGCCTTTACAATGCTGCGGCGAAGTGTAGTATAGGTGGAGTACATGGCGAGTCCCAAAATGGGTTGGAATTACGTTTGTTGCGTTATCCTTTGATATACTTTGATACTTAACGTGAGCAGCGTAGGGCAGAATTCAGACTTCGCGATCTACGCGCGTCGACGCGCTATCACTGCAAGGGCGCCCCAGTGGCATAGAATCGAACGCAACCGCAGACGGGTATCGACCAGTGCCGGCCTTTTGTGTTCTGAGAGAGGATAGGATAACAAGAGGGCAGGCCGCCTTTACACAATCTGGAACTCTCCCATTCTTCTATAATCTCCCGAACCTCCAGTACTGATCGATACCAGACTGCCTGTTTAGGCAAAGCGTCCTTCTTGCTCCCTCCACCACACTCTCTCACAAGGGAACCCAACAGTGTCGACCGGCCATTTGCAATGACGAATAGCATATGGACGTATCTCGAGCCGCTGAATCCAAATCTACTCTCCGTTTTTGCGGAACGATTCTCTGAACGGAGTTACGGACCATCAAATCTTTGCTCCGTTGTATAAGTTGAGAGGGATGGTTGCTCACGGCAGGTCGCCGATGGCCTAGTGGATAAGTGCACTGATTCAGAAACGACGATGTCGCATGTTGGAATCCTTGACACTCCGAACATTTTTGCTTTTGTTCAGAACATTCCATATGAGCCAGAACACTTCTGTTTGGCCAGTTGACCTGAATCTCTGATTATTTGACAATAGAAGCGATCATTGCTCCATCTGTTACACCTTCTGAAAACTTGAATGAGAACTCCAATGAGAATGACCGTTTCTAGAGCTCGCATCGAGGAATGGAGAAGGTCGCCACTACTACTAGGGAAGGTCGTCAGGTCCAAGTGGCCATTCGTAATGAAATATAGTTCACTAGACGTGGTTTTGGACGCTGATCTCGAATCTGCCTTCGAAATTTGCAGAACGATTCTCTGAACGGAGTTGCATTTAAATTCTGTGGGGAATGTCTCTTTTAAGTCTAGAATGCATTCAAACGTCAAATGGGTGCCATATTCGTGTTCAGGGAGCAAAATTACCCTTGGGGACAGGTTTCTAGCCAGATATGAGGTTTGTGACCTTTGCAGAAAAGTCCGGTAGCAGTTTGATCCGATGGTCACCACTAGTTCCAGGGCCAGTCTCTTGTCGATTGCCTGTCTTTGGCCGGAATTTTCTTCTATATACCAGGAAAACTGGAGCAGTAACAAAATGAATGCGTAAGAAGGTGCAAGACAAGGCGTTGTGCAGGCAAATGTATCTGCAGCTGAATAGGTGTGAACATCAGCTGAACTACCCTGGGATGGTTCAATTATGGAAATCAGGTCAAAATGCCAGATTTGGCTAGCAACTTGTGTATAAAGGTATTTTGACCCGCTGAACACGAATATGGCACTCGCTGAGCGTGAAAACGCCTGTATCGCGCACGACGGGCACCTGTACACCCCAATATTTTCCTGCACTACAAGGCTTCTACAAGGTGCCTAGGCGCATTCATAAATGGACGCAAAGTTTTCTTCAGGCAAGATTAGGTGAGCACTGAAGTAGTAGTGAAAGCAAAACCACATTTTGCCACGTTTGCGCAGGAAGCAAAAAGTGAAGCCCAGCAGGGATTCGATCCCACGACCTGTTGCGTGGTAAATGCGGTGGAAAAAGCCCCATAACTCCGTTCAGAGAATCGTTCCGCAAAAACGGAGGGTAGATTTGGATTCAGCGGCTCAAGACACGTCCACATGTGTACATCTCATTGCAAACGGCCGGGTCGACCTGTTGGGGTTCCCTTGTCAGTATACAAGCGACCGCCGCCCGACCTATCCCCGTCTGCGGCTGCGTTCGCGTCTGTAGCATTGGGCGCTGTTGCAATTGTTGAGGGTCGACGCGCGTTATCGTGAAGTTTGAACGCTGCCCAATCGCTGGAGCGAGCGAATGCTTTCCATGGAATCAATTCTTATCTGACGGGGAGCCAAATAAGATTTTTTTCCGTGCTTCATGAACGCCAGAGTCTAAGATGAAAACAGTGTTGAACATCAGTTGTTTCTTCATATGTACCTGTTTAAACTGGGAACCAGACAGACACCTGAAAAACTGTTCGTTTGGCCATCCAGCAGTGGCGAGTGCATATCTATGAGTTGTTGTCGGTCTAGTCATAGTGGTGAGGGTTGCTCAGCTCTTTCTTGTGCAAGGAACAACATCGCTGGGAGAGGAAGAATCCCGGTGGGAGGTCATATTCAGTTGCTGGGGAGGGAGAGGAGCCGTGTTAAGTCTAGCGGTTGTATCTGGCCTTGATAAAAAGCTGATTGCTGGGAGGGAGGGGGGGATTCGTATTTGGGCTGAGAAAAATTTTTTCTATAGGTTGATCTTTTCTCGCTGTCACGACATTTGTGAAAAAGTAGGGTTCGTCTTGGCTGGGATTGTGGGAGGAATGGGGAGGGGTCGTACTTACTGGCCTTTCTAGGAGTGGTTGGGACGCCTCCCCTCCCCTCCCCTCCCCCTCCCCCCACTGACGGCTCGATTCGATGAGGAGGACAGTGGGCCAGAGAGGGGGGGGGGCAGTCTTACCCCCCCCCCCTCACAAAAAAAGGCGGGGTTGCACGGAACCTGATAACAAATTCCCAACTTAATGATGCCCTGTGGTGTACGGATGAATGAGCAAGGCTCTCGCAGGTCAAGCTCGCCTAGCATTTAGCGCTTCTTCCCCCTTCATCTTGTCATTATTCTCTCACTTTGGTGCATAATTATATGTTGAACTGCTTCAGTTTTTATTACAAAACTCAAATTTCAGGTGGTTCTTCCTGAAAACGGATCGCGATGGTGCACAGACCTCACTTTATCTAGCCCTCAGCAAAAAAGTTGACGGCATTAGTGGGAAGTTTTTTGCGTGAGTTCAGAAACCTTCCTCTCTTCTCCCACGAAAGCAGACCTTGTTGTGCTATATCACATTATTTTTCAGCGATTGTAAATTAGCATCGGAAAATCCTCTGGCTTTGAATGACCAAGCCTGCGATGATCTGTACAACTACAGTCTGGAACAATGCGGAGTCACCGAAGAGCTTACTGAGTAGTCATGGAAAACGCTGAATAGAGACCCGTTTTCTTCCCCTTTAATTTTTGGCCCGATTTGTGTATATGTATGTATAATAATGTAGGAAGGTTTCGCGGTTTTCGGGTGTTGCATGCTTGTAATTTTATCTAATTCGAATAAATTATATTGCGCGAAATTGTGTTATAATATAGTCTGTTAGAAGAGTTGCAGAGAATTGTAAGAATGCTCGGTAAAAGAAGCCATTCCTCTTTCAAGACGATTTCCTGCGCTCGATATCGAACATCTTTCTTTCAGAAAATCTACCGTTTATATGAAATTTTTCTTTGTAAATTGTTCGAGCAGCGCTGGGTGATAACAAGGTTGGCACGGGCAGGCGGGAGGGGGCCACGTGGCGAAAGTAGGTTGGCAAGATGTTCCCTCTACTCAGCTCCCCTACGATCTAGGCCTACTAGGGCTTCTATGAACAGGCAAAAATTCTCTTCGGTCCCCTGCCGTCTTCTTGACGGCAGTTTTTCTTCAAGACTCCCCGTGAATGGCGGTTCCCGCAGCTGCGACAGCTTATTTGGGTTACTAATTTCGGAAGATGTGTTCGAAATACGGGACTTCATATCTCCCAGCAGGGAATTGAGAAAGGGTACACACCCGACCAGCTACCACATTTGCGACGCCAACGACTGGACCGTATATGGGAAATTCAACGGTGAATTTCATCAAGCCCGATATCCCGCAGGTTCCTTCCGCATGAGGCGGAAGTGGGCGGTAGTCGTTTGGAGGACCTATCAAAGAGGAGTTCTGAACGGTTGCTGGATTGGGAGCCGTATGTGTCTTTAGGTTAGGAAACTTCGAGGGTAGGTAGAATAGCGAAGGGTCGTATTAGAGTAAGTTTCGGGGAGGGAGGGGAGAGGGATGCAGTGACACCGCAGTTTCTCAGATCGTGATGCTGTATACTAAGGGTTGTGGCAAGTGGCACGCTCACCTCGCTCACTGTATGAAGATCAAATCCGGACGAACTCCCGCCTAGGCCAGCTAGGCTTTCTGTCCTCCTTGAACGGTAAATAGGCGCCAGGTTCGTTCGGGCACCTGGAGGATGGCACACATGGGTTGTAGATCGCTTTTTCCTCCTCATTTTTTTTTTGTTTTTCTTTCAATACGCGTTGTGGACAGTCCCTCTATTTTCGCCTCCAGTGAAAGGATTATAGTCGCAGTTCGGCTTGGCAGGGGCATTTTGCTGATTCCCATCAATGGCTGCCGAGGTCTTTTTCAGGGATCACTGAACTTTTGTGAAGCTGTGCAGGTCTTATTCACCAAGGTATGACGCGTAGTTCACCAGCAAGGGAAACTAGCGAAGTGCGAATTGAACACCCCCCCCCCTTCCTCCGCGCAACGACGCCGAATTTTCGGGGGCGGAAAACTGTGGGGGAAAAAATCAAGGTGCAGTGATTGGAAGAAAAAAGGGATCAAGGATAGCATACTTTCATGAAAACTGCCAGAGCGCACGATACAACCCATAACCCAAACGACGCTAGTGACACTATGAAAGCCCTTAAATTGTCCCTAAGTCTCCTCGGAAGTAGGAAATCCCCAAAATATCGCATTTTGCGTTCTTTGTCCCGAAACAATCGATGAAACCCAGGTCTATGCGTACTCTGCGAAACTTAAAATTTAACAAAATTCCACCTCTAACCATAAGTGTCACTTTTCCTACTCTTTTGCAACTTTCTGCACCCTTTTTCTTCCTTAACTTCCACTTTCCATAACATCTAATTATTTTTCAGCTCAACCCTCCATTCGACCTAACCCACCCAGCTTTTCAGCGGTGAAAAGTGCGTCGACGAAATTCGAAGAACGGCGGTGTTTCGGCCGATTGAGGGCACAACCTACAAGGAATCGGCCACTCCAGCCAAGTGCCCGATGGTCAGTTCGATTACTCTGCTTATGGCCGTCGAATTCCGATAGGAATTGACGCTACTTCGAGCTACGGGCAAGGGAGAGCTTGAATCCTTCAGGGTTTCTTCTTGTTGAGGAACCTCCTCGTTGCCACGTTAATAGAGCAACACAAAACGACTAATCGATATTTCACGGGTTTTCTTCCAAGTGTGAGCTGTGCATGTTTCACTAACCATAAGTGCCATTTTGTGGCTTCAAAGGAATTTATAGTCTGTAAGTGGTAAAATGCTCCCCTAAAATGAACAGCTCCAAAAAAGTTGTAGGCTAACTCTGATTCATAAAGGAGTTCCAGCCACTACACGTTTCCTTGCCTCCTCGTGTCCTCCATCGTCTCTCTGCCTCACCGCCGCTCAAATACTGCTCATCCGGAAGACATGGGCCCATGCACGAAACCAGGGTGCCCTCGAGCCGGCAATTAGCATATTCAGGTACGTTCCCACTGGTAATCTTCCCGGGATCTCCCATGTAATTTCCAGTTGCAGGAATTCCTTTTTTCAAGAACCCGGAAATTCGTTCGAGGATGATGCATGGCACGAAAAATGCTGGACATGAACGATTAAAGGTAAGAGGTCTGCTGGAAGGCTTTGCGCAAGGGTAGTCAATTTACGAGACGAGACGTGATGGCATTCCCAAGGGATATATTAGTCGCGACGCTCACGAGGGACCTCCTAGGCCGATGGCGTTATAATACTTTGCGGCGCAGCGTAGACGTGCGTAGCGCAGCGTAGCGTGCACGCTTCCCGTACGCCGGCAGTGCCGAAGAAGAGAATCGGCATTATCCGATCTTAGCTTCACAGGCGTCACCAGTCGGCACTGGTCGCGTACGCGTGTGATCTGCGGCACGCTAGCGTTACGCCAGCGTTTCTCCAGCGTTTCACCAGCGTTTTGCTAGCGTTTGCAGCGGCAGGGAGTAGAGACTATGTGGCAGGCAGAGACGCGGAATCGACGCGTATTGTAGAGACTATGGGCCGTCGAAGACGCAGAAGCGATGTGCATTGTAGAGACTATGGGGCCGTCGAAGACGCAGAAGCGATGTGCATTGTAGAGACTAAGGGGCCGTCGAAGACGCAGAAGCGATGTGCATTGTAGAGACTAAGGGCGAGTGAGATACGCGCAATCGATGTGCTTTGTACCCTCCAGCTCTCCCATAGTCTCTACTCCCCTGCCGCTGCAAACGCTAGCAAAACGCTGGTGAAACGCTGGAGAAACGCTGGCGTACGCTAGCGTGCCGCTAGCGTGCGCTAGCGTGCCGCTGGTGACGCTGGTGAAGCTAGATCGATATGCATCCTCTCTTCGGCACTGCCGCTGGCGTACGCTGGAAGCGCTACGCTACGCTGCGCTACGCTACGCTACGCTACGCTGCCGCAAAGTATAAACGCAGCCTTAAGCGACGACTTGCGTCAATCACCGTCGGCGAAAAATCCACAGATGCCTTGTCTCAGTTGTTCGGGTGGATATTATTTTCGAAGTAGAACGTTTGTTCGTGAAATAGCTGCGGTTGTGTAGGGAGAGACATAGGTGTGGGATGGTTTTGGCGTGGCACTAATCCAATTCACCCAACTAATTGATTGATTCAGCATTGTCCCAGCAAAATTACAAGCCGTACAGAGTGAGAAGAAAAAACATAGCTGGGCGCAGACGCGCTAAACACAAAGACACTTTAAACGAAACACCCCAAATTAGCAGTAAACGAGACTTTATACCATCACTATGTGATACTTCGTGGTCACATCCACCCAGGGCGCAACACTTCTCGCCCAAACTTTGACGGGATGCCTCCACCACCTTCCTTGAGTTCCCTCTTCCCGATGACTGTTCCAAAACATTCAGACAACTACCATAGCAAACCGAACAATAGTCAACTAGGAACTCAGTTGCGTGTAATTTTGCGACGCAGCCAACTAGGAGGTAGAGCACTTCTTTCCACGGCGCTGAGTCGTCCAGAGGGGGGAGGAGCCGCGGGGAGGAGGGCCGGGGGAACACTTGGCACGGCACCTTCTCGTTCTTCACCAGCTATGGAGGTTGGCAAGCGACCGCTCTTGGGGGAAAGCAGACAGGCTCCGCGCCACTCCCCTGCGAAAGACTGGAACTTATAAGCACGACAGACTGAAATATACATATCAGAGATCTCGAGTGTAGAAACGAGCAGGTCCGGAGAAGGTACCGTGAGCATACGAAAGAGTGAAGGCTGCTACAGGTCGTATCACTCAAGTTTCTCCATGATTTTCCTTTGCTTTTTTCTTCTCGGCAGAGTCTTTCAGCGACTCTAGGTTTATAATTGAACACCACTATCCACGATATGCAATTGCATAGTCTGTCTTCAGTAGCGAAGATCTCTTTGGAACTTTCCTTGAAAAGCCCACCCTGGCGGCATCCTTAGGCTTGCCACATGTCTTGCGCACTTTCCGATGCTTAGGAAACGCTGGCCTCTGTCTATATACGCTAGACACTGCCCTAATGCAGAGTCTAGCGCAGACAGACTCGCCAACAACAGGATCAGGTAGAAAGGCACGTCAGTTAACCGGCCAGCACGGCACGTGCTGTAGTTGGGGGAAAATGTTGCAACGTACAACTCTCAAAACTTCCCCCTCTAGTGCTACCCCCTATCCCTATCCTACTTACCATTTCTATCACTTTCCCCAACTCCTTACCACTTTCCCGGAGTTCTTTCTATTTTCTCTTGAAATTTTCCACTTTTCCCGAAAATAGCGGTAGGGAGGGGGATACATGTAGCACACGCGAAACGGGAAAAGTGACTGCAAAAGCCAACAACCAAAAACCGGAAGACCCAAGGCCATGTCATGAGATTAGGCGTAGAGTACGGTAGCTTCCTCGGTGTGCAATTGCACGAATCAACAGTTGCATTTGCAAGCTGACAATGAGCGAAATGTCGGTGGAAAAGTTCACGTTTTCGCCGTATTGGTAGAACGTGCTCATTTCACTACTGTTTTGGAGATTGTGGTTCTGAAATGACCCATTTAACAGCTTTTCTTTTTGCATTCTTAACTCTTTTCTTACTGAGTGGTTGTTGGCTTGATTTATCTCGGTTGTGGTGACAGGTTTTTGTTACTA